GGGAGATGGAAAGAACTCTCCCATTTCCAAGATGTCCTCACCTTCTCCTTTTCCATACTTGGAGCCGGGCAGCCAGGACACGGCCTCCACGTAGCCCAGCTCACGGCAGGAGAACAAAGAACTCCAATACCACCAATTAAACTGAAATCAGGGATTATTGGGAGATGGAAAGAGCCCCTCTCTCCATTCCAAGATCTCCTCACCTTCTCCTTTTCCATACTTGGAGCCGGGCAGCCAGGACACGGCCTCCACATAGCCCAGCTCCCAGCAGGAGAAAAAACACTCCAACACCACTAATTAAATTAAAATCAGGGATTATGGGGAGATGGAAGGAGCCTCTCCCATTTCCAAGATCTCCTTTTCCATACTTGGAGCCGGGCAGCCAGGACACGGCCTCCACGTAGCCCAGCTCCCGGCACAAGAACAAAACACTCCAATACCACCAATTAAACTGAAATTAGGGATTACTGGGAGATGGAAGGAGCCTCTCCCATTTCCAAGATCTCCTTTTCCATACTTGGAGTTGGGCAGCCAGGACATGGCCTCCACGTAGCCCAGGTCCCATCAGGAGAACAAAGCACTCCAATACCACCAATTAAATTAAAATCAGGGATTATGGGGAGATGGAAGTAGCCTCTCCCATTTCCAAGATGTCCTCACCTTCTCCTTTGCCGTACTTGGAGCCGGGCAGCCAGGACATGGCCTCCACGTAGCCCAGCTCCCGGCACAAGAGCAAAACACCCCAACACCACCAATTAAACTGAAATCAGGGATTATTGGAAGATGGAAAGAGCCCCTCTCTCCATTCCAAGATGTCCTCACCTTCTCCTTTTCCATACTTGGAGCCGGGCAGCCAGGACACGGCCTCCACGTAGCCCAGCTCCCATCAGGAGAACAAAACACCCCAACACCACCAATTAAACTGAAATCAGGGATTATTGGAAGATGGAAAGAGCCCCTCTCTCCATTCCAAGATCTCCTCACCTTCTCCTTTTCCATACTTGGAGCCGGGCAGCCAGGACACGGCCTCCACGTAGCCCAGCTCACGTCAGGAGAGAGAAACACCCCAACATCATCAGTGAGACTGAAATCAAGGATTATGGGGAGATGGAAAGAACTCTCCCATTTCCAAGATGTCCTCACCTTCTCCTTTTCCATACTTGGAGCCGGGCAGCCAGGACACGGCCTC